AGAGAGAGAGAGAGAGAGAGAGAGAGAGAGAGAATGTATATAACTGTCACCATATATATTTGAAAATTCTATTCTCGTGTTCTATTCTCGTGTTCTGGTTGTGGTCATTTTTGCATGCAAAATGCCACTGATCATTCAGAGCTAATCTAAAAATACATTTGTAATTATTTTCAGATGAGTGTACAAGAGTATGAAATGCTCAAGGAGGAGGATGAGGGCTGTCTCAAGAAATACAGAAAGCGGTGCATGCAGGAGATGCATGACAAGCTTAGCTTTGGGCCAAAGTTTGAAGGCGTGCACGACTTGGACAGCGGGGAGGCGTTCCTTGAAGTCATCGAGAAGGAACATCACAGCACAGTGGTGGTAGTTCACATCTACAAGATTGGAGTCAAAGGCTGCGAAGAGCTCAACAACTGCCTCAACTGTCTGGCCACAGAGTATCCCACTGTTAAGTTCTGCCGGATTGACGCAGTTTCCTCAGGTGCTGCTGAGAGATTCTCAGATGAGGTGTTGCCTACGCTTTTGGTCTACAAGGCAGGTGAACTGCTGGGGAACTTCTTGGCCTGCACACAGCACTTAAATGAGGAGTTCTTTGCTACAGATGTCGAGGCCTTCCTCAACAGCTATGGTTTGCTGCCAGAGAAAGAGATGCCTATGATGGATGATGAAGAGGAGAATGATGTGGAGTAAATGATCCTTCGCGATTGCCGAGGGAAAAAAAAAATCACTTGTCTGGGTGGTTGTATGTAGAGTTAATGAGCGTTCTAGAAAATCCTAAAATGATTAAAGTCTGTGTTTGAGAAGAGTTCTCTGCGAAGGCTGTTAACGTTTCATTACCAAAGGTTTCTCTGGCATGTTGCCCTCAAATCTGGTTTGACTTCATTAGACTGGATTTAAATTATAATAGTACCATCACCCAAACAAAAACCAAACCCAATTTGTGTTCATATAACTTTAACCAAAAAGGTATTCTTTTGTTTTGCACTGTTAGAATATTTGTCATATTACAATAAATGGCAAAGTGCATAATGCAATCATTGAAAGTCTTTTAGCACTTGACTAGATTGATTAATAAATCCTGAATTTATACTACGGCCATTCAATTTATCTTAATAGTTAACCAAAGGGCTGTTTTTAGTAAATTTACCAAAGAAGTGTGGATGTTGTAATCGTATTCAGGTAAATGAGAAGTGCATCTATTTTAACATTCAGTATTTTGTGCATACAGTACAATATTTAGTAAAAGTGCAAAATGATTTGCGTAAGCATCATATTTTGTTTATGATTACAGTACAGTATATATGGTCATAATTATAATTTGCCCATAATTTTAAAGAATAAAACAGCATGAAATGTCTGTCTTGGTTTGTTTACTCCAATCACATCAATCTGAAAATCTAAATCTTTTACATTTATCTATTGGGGCACTATGTGCAGAAAATGTTGTAAAATGTTGTGATCGATCACCATTTTTATGTCCAGGAACATGGTAAACATAATGAGTGCAGGCATGTTAAGTTTTTAAGTAATTAGGTTACTGCAGTTGTCCTCAGTAAGTTTTAATAATGCCACACGGTGAGGCAGTGGTGAGCAGTTCTGCCTCCCTGTCGAAAGGTTCTGCATTCACTTTCTACGGGTACTCTGTCTTCCCCCCACATTCCAAAAACAGACATTTTAGGTCAATTGAAGACTGTCAATTGTCCCAAGGTGCAAATGGTTGTTTGTTCAAATGTGCCCTGCGATTGTTTGTCGACTAATCAGGGTGTACCCATCCTCTCGCCCGTAGTCAGAAGGGATTGAAGGATAGAAAATTGAGTGATGTAAGACTTAGTTTCATTTTATCTCCAGGGTCACGAATATTCTGTTTTCTTTGTTTTGTCTTTTGGTCAAGAGATGCGCCTGGATGATCAATTTGCCATTCTTCGCACAGATTACAATACAGTATTAAACTCCCATATAACTTCCTGATTGTTTCTGTCCTTGGATAGTTTGAGGGGATTTAGCTAATCAGGTTCATGTAATGCTTTGTTAACAACTGTTCCTTAACTTGCAGAAGAGATTCCTCTATCCACCTCTTAAAATTTTTATTATACCTTAGAGGGAAATATTGTCATTCAAAAAACATAACAATATATTGAATTTAAATACTAAGGACTTTATTTGCGTCAGTTTTGAGTTAACAAAAACTGTTGCATACCACCTTAAATGACACTGGACAATCGCAAATTTTAATCCGAGATGGGTATATGTGGCCCTAAATGTTTTTTGACACTTGATTTAAAAAATGTCTTTGTTTTTTTCTCGCACATCAGCTTTTGAGATATTTTCATTTTTGTTGTTTAATTTGACCCATAAAAGCTAAGGCAATGTGGATTTTACCATGCATTGTAATTAATAACTGATGTTCCAGAAAAAGAATTTCACCTGTTGCAAAACGTAACCTTAATTATTATTATTAAAACCTGATGTAGTAGAAAAAATGAGGGAAGATTCTGAATCAGTGCAAAAAAAAATCATCTAGAAAATGTACTTGTATCTCTTGATTTATCCATCCATGCATCTTCCGATTCGCTTTATCCTCACAAGGGTCGCTGGATCCTATCCCAGCCATCTTCGGGTAGTAGGCGGGGGACCCCCTGAACCGGTTGCCAGCCAATCGCAGGGCATGCAGAGACGAACCACCATCCGCGCTCACACTCACACCTAAGGACAATTTTGAGTGTTCAATCAGCCTGCCATGCATGTTTTTGGAATGTGGTACCCGGAGAAAACCCACGCAGGCCCAGGGAGAACATACAAACCGCACACAGGAAGGCCAGAGCCGGGATCGAACCCACGACCTCTGCACTGTGAGGTCGACGCGCTAACCACTTGTACACCGGGCCGCCTCATCTGAAGTTAAAACATTGTTGACCAGTGTAATTTAATTGAAGCGCTGGCATCTTAAAATATCATGTTAAATTTATCCATTTGATGCAAAAGCAAAATAACTACCATAGCTAGCTTTAACCTTTTGGCAGAAAAAAAGCCTGAACCAATGCACATCAACACATTCTTGTGATTCTGCTTTTGTGGTTGTGTCAATTATTATATTTGTCTGCGTGTGGGGATTTATGCCTCAAGGTTTCATGATATATTTCCGATTGCCTGAGAAATATCTCTTGATTCCTAATTAGTCGTTTAAATTTTGCCACAGTTACAAATATTTCTCTGAAGATGTACAAGACTCAGTGTTTTCACCACGACCACATCTGACACGGCTTGCATAGCCTCAAGCTGAAAACAACTCACATGCCTGAAATTTATGAGATTATTTTTAAACCAAGGCTTCCTTGAGTTGTCGGAACATGTCAGCCAACTGGTCTCTGGCCTTGCCTGTCTTAAAGAACGGATGAACACTGCAATAAAATTAATCAACCAATATCCGAAACCTCTTCCACATAAATAAAGCAAGTGGCAGACTCATCAAACGAGAAATTGCAGGTGTGCCATCCAAAGTTATCTTTGAAATCTCCAATAATCAGAAGTTAAACAATATTTGTTGATCTGATAATCAGTCACATGCTGACATTTTATTAGGAGGGCAGTGATTCACATAGCTGAATTTGTTGCATGTGTTGTGAAATCAATTCCCACTCAATGTCCAATTAACACTTGCCCTCTGACTGACTGGTGATCATCAAATTTCTTCATATGCCTGCTGGCATAGACTCCAGGTCCTGACATGACCCCTGATATGAATAAAGCACATAAAAAAGATAATCCAGTGCAGGATGTCACAATCGAGTAATTCAAGAATTGATTGAAAATATCCCCTATTTATACACACACACACACACACACACACACATTGGTCAAGGTCAAGAATGAATCATAAATTTGGAGAGGGAACATACTGTTTTGCTTTGCGTTTTTTGTGTGTGTGTGTGTGGGGGGGGGGTTGACAAAAACATTATGGGTTGACTCATTATACTGTCCACTTAATGGCTGCCTAAATGTTTGCCCCTCCATTGGTCACATGTCCCTACCCCCATATCTGACATTATTATACTTTCCCAGCTGATTATACAGAGTCACTAATTAAAGCATATTTTTCCCTGTTGTGTTTGGACTTTTGAGAGCCCAGCTGATACGCTCTAATTCACCCACATAAAAAACGTCACCGTGTGCTATATAGCCCACTCTTGCTGGTCACTCACACTCACCAAATATGGGCAATGGTGTGAAGGATATTACATAACTGCGTTTACTGGCTTTCATCATTAATCAAAATATAAACAGTTATCACTTTAAAGTTCATTTTAGATGTGCTAAAGTGATTGTCCACTGATAAGCTCCAAGAAATACATCTGCACTTCAAGAAAAAGAAATGTTAAAATTCAGCCAGTACTCGTCTAAATGAGGGACAGATAGGTCATGAGAACAAATGCAACACAACAGCAGCTCAGCACTGGTACCTCCACTCAATAGCCCGTTCACTTACTTTGCTGGCCGGTCAAAAAGACTAAATAAAAGTCACGCATATTCATGAAATACTACACATTAGCCTCTTGAACAACAGCATGTGTCATACATGTGTGATAAAACACATGTGTATTGGAAAAAGTGAAACTGTGATGTCTCTTGTGTGACAGCATGCACCAATAACTGCCGATGTCAATTAATGAGTGAGTAGTCGCATTGGGCACTTGGGGAGCAATGCATCTCACAGCCACTTTCCTTCTGGTCCATGTTTAGTCAAAGTCAGAACCCTTTTTATTGGCCATGTATGTAAAACATACAAGGAATTAGGTTACACTAGTATTGCAACAACAAGCAACTAGGATAAACAAAGACCTGACATTTAAGTATCAAAAGAATTTCCATAATGTAAGGGTAATATTGTGCAGTAGTACCACCCAATGACAGCTGTGGGACAATGTGCAGAGTCATTGAGCAGAGGTAAAGTGATCAGTGGTGCAATACAATACTATGATGGTTCTGCAGTTGGTGCTGATAACCATTTTTAAGTGGATTTTTTCCTGCAACACCACACGTAGCGCTCGAGCTGCAACAACCCCACATTCACCCTTAGGCCGATCTTACCTGTGTTTGTCCCGCAAGGCTAATGTTACTCTCATTTGTACCTGTACAGTGGCATTCATGTCAATGGAATGCCACTGTCAACATAAATCACTCAATGGGGGACAGCTTGTGTCACCATGTATCTTGGTTTCTGTCAACACTTTAAATTAAATCTTTATAAAGTTTGTGCTGCTCAGACTCTCCAAAATACACTTGGTGCACATGATGGTAACCAGGTGTACTGATGGGTTTTAAAAACTTCTGCCTCAAGACAAACTTCTTCCATTATTCTTCTCAAGTTCACATTTTTATTTGAATTAATGATGACACAAATAAACATCTTCTTTACAAGATATACAGTATTTCAGTGAGAAGGCAAGCAATTTGTGGGGGTTGACTGGCAAGCATGTCAGCCTCACAGCGCAGAGGTGCAGTGTTTAATTCCTGATCCGGCCTTGCAGTATGGAGTTTACATGTTCTCCCTGTGCTTGCGTGGGTTTTCTCAGGGTACTCCTGTTCCCGCCCACATTCCAAAAACATGCATGGCAGGCTGATTGAAAACTCATAATTGTCCCTAGGTGTGAGTGTGAGCGCGGATGGTTGTTCGTCTCTGCATGCCCTGCGATTGGCTGGCAACAGGTTCAGGGGGTCCCCCGCCTACTGCCCGAAGACGG